AATCCAATGTGGATGAATGAGTAGTTTCTACTCTCTCCCCTCTTCTAAAGACACGGGAACCAGAGCTCAGAGAGGTTAAGGCCTCTGGCCAAAGTCACACAGCTCAAAACACCAAGCTACAAGTCCCACCCAGGCGTGTCCTATGCTCAGCCCGAGCCTTAACCACTCTGCAGACCAGCCTTGCCCCTGAAGGAGCACCTGCCAGGAGTCACAAAATCCTAAATCAGATTTTTAAAAACCAGAGAAAACCAGAAGAAAGCACCGTGGGCCACTCACCTCTGTGCCCCTCTCCCGGTGTGCGGGGTGCGTCTGCCTGCCCTGTCGCCCACGCGTCCCCTGTTTTGTTTCCTCCTTTTTTTTTCCTTCCCTTTTAACTAATCACTCAGTTAACAAGTCAGCTCTCTGAAGCGCGGGTCGCTACCTAGTGACTCCGTGCACACGATAAAGAAATCAAGCGTCACCAATACAGAAGTCAGAGGGGTTTAAATCAAATCTTCCTCCACAACAATGACATTAATTATGCTTTTAACACGTTTTACTGCTTTTTTTCTCACTTCACGCCACATCTGTGTGAACAATATCCAAAAGATTTACGGTTTTCTTTCGTAATTACAGACATACAGGCTGCACACTTATCAAAATACTTGCTGAGCAATCAGGCTCTATCACAGGCTCTGCCAAAGATTTGTGCTGGCAGCAGTCATTCAAAACAAAAATGTTGAATCAGGACTTGTGTGCGGCTTGGGGGAGGGGGAGCATTTCGACAAATAATTCGCCTGTCAAGACGTATAAAAACAGGAGTGTGCGCCCGGTTCCTTTTCCAGGGTGGGATTTTTATGGAGGGGGCCGGGCGCTGCGGTGGGGGGCAGCGGGTGGGGAAGCTCAGAGCGCCAAAAACGCATCTGACATTTGGTTCTTGTGTCTGAGGATAAAATTTAATGAGAACAAAAATATGTCTTCCTAATTCCCCTAAGAAACCATTAAAACATTTTGTTATTCTTAAATGTCTCGAAAATGAATTAGAGCCCCTGAAGGGGCTGTTTGTATGGTACGTCTCCATCAGTTAAGGCTGCTCATTCTGCAGCTCCGTGACAGCGGGGACGTCCCCCACCGCCCCTCCAATTCTGGGGAGGAGAGCTGGGAAATCAGAGGCACAAGGAGTCAGCACTGGGCTCCAAGTGACCTCTGCATCCCCAGGCTGTGGGGAGGGGGCGAGAGAGCGCACGGCCTTCTGGAAAGCTCCTCACAGTCTTGGGGACTCAGGGCCCTTGGCTGGTTCTGTGTCTGTGCTAATAGCCGGGGTACCCAGAGAGGCGAGTGTCCCACAGTGAGCCCTGGAGAAGCAGCTTTGTTTCCTATGGGGGCGGTGGCCCTCGCCCACTGGTCCACGCCTGTCTGCTCCTCTGCTCCCAAACTCCAGCCCCCTAACACGCCCGAGTTTGCGACTGCAGCTTATCTGAGTGATCATCTGGCTACTTCTGCCACCAGAAAGCAAGCTTCTGAGGGCCACGTCCATGCCTGTGTCTGTGGGTTCCCAGCTATGCTCCCCATGTTCAGCAAATGCTGGGCATACAGCAGACACTCAGTAAATGCTTGCAATCAGCAGACACTCAGTAAATGCTTGCAATCCTCCTGTTGTTTGATGACCAGAGAACTCTAGTTGAAAAAGCACTTCTTTGCCCCAATAACTCTTCCTCCCCTCCCACTGCCTAGTCTTCTAATTCATTCAATAATCATTAGGTGCCTTTGGTGTACTGCACTTTATATATAGGTTTAATATGGCCTAATCTGGGTATATAGGTTTAGTATGGCCTGATCCCGGGCTTGGAGTACTCCCTGTCTCCTAGACAAGCCAGACATACATGATAATAACATGAGTAGCTGATAGTATGCACCAACTGTGTGCCATGCACCTTGAAGCTTCCTGACAACCACATGAGGCAGGTTGGCATACTTAGTCCCAGTGTGTGCAAGGGGAGTCGGAGGCTCTAGAAGGTGGATGGATCCATCTGTGGGCAGGCATGGGCGAGGGAGGTGTGTGGGGCCTGTAGCACTTGAAGCTGGGTCTGGCCCTGGCGTGGATGGACTGGCCCGCCTCAGCGCAGCTCCTGGAGTGGGTGAGGCACTGCAGGGCCCGTGGGCGAGCTCTGGGTGGGGGCCTTCTGGCTCCTGCATCACCTTTCAATGTCACTTGTCAACAAGACTGTCGGACCCAAAGGATTAAAAGGGGTGGGGCATAAGGTGCATTTTTCCAGATCCCACCTATGGGAGTGGGAAAATCAGTACAAAGGCTGCAACTGGTGCTGCTGGCTACGTGGGTGTTGTGTCCCCACTGTGGGTAATGACACATGCCCACAGTGCTATAAGCTCAAAGTCAAGATGTTGGCAGACACAATGGGCTGCAGACACATGCCACGTCCCCTCAGGGAACACAAAGCCCATGGCACTGCGAGTGCAAATCTGGGTGGAGCCGGGGACCTGGCAACAGATGCCTGAGCAGGGGGCTCAATAGGCCCCAAAAGATGCACCTGTTGTCCTGAGCCCCAAACCCGCAATTGTGACTTCATCTGATGGTGTCTTTGCAGATGTAACTGAGGATGTCGCCATGAAACCGTCCGGACCATCCAGATGGGCCCTGAGTACAACGACAAGCGTCCTTACTAGAGAAAGTGGAGAGCCGAGACAGAGAAGCAGAGAGGCCATGTGGCACCAGAGGCAAAGGCTGGAGTGATGAAGTCACAAGCCAAGGGATGTGAGGGGCCACCAGAAGCTGGGGAGGCAGGAAGGATCCCCTACAGCCTCAGAACAAGCGGGGCCCTGCCGACATGGCCCTGGCCTCCTCCTTGAGAGAAATACCTGCCACCACTATGGTTATGCCACCAGAGCAGCTGTGAGAACCCAACATGGACTTGCATGCTGCTGCAGGTTGCAGCATGGGACAGACCCTGTTAGTATTTGTTGACTGTGCCGAGCCCTGAGTCCTGCCTCTCTGTGCCGTGAGGAAGGGACCCGCATGAGCCTGTCCATATGCAGAGTTGGAAGGTGTAGCTCCTCTATCAGGACACAACTGCAACACGCTCACAGATCTCCCACCGAGCTGCCTAGAAGGCAGAGTGATGCAGTGGGTCCGAGAAGACCCGATCCTAACCAGCTCATAGGAGAAGCCAAGACTGCTGGTCTGTGGGCCACGCTTTGAGTAGCCACATGCTGGAGGACTTCCCTCTTTGTCCAGCCTGGGGGCTCCTGGAGGGCAAGGCTCCGCAGCCCCGCCAAATGGGTCTCCTGGTGCTGTGGTAATAAAGCACCACCAAGCACCGGGAGTGGGGTGTTTGAACAACAGAAATTGATTCTCCTACTTTTGGGGGCTATAAGCTCAAAGTCAAGATGTTGGCAGGGCTGTGCTCCTGGCTGCTGTGGCCTGTGGCACTCCTTGTCTTGAGGCTGCATCCTCCCATCTTTGCCTCTGTCCCTACAGGGCCTTCTTGAGCGAGGGTCCTTGTGTCCTTCCTCTACTGATAAGAACCTCAGTTGTTGGGTTTAGGACTCCCCTAAATCCAAGATGATCTTATTTTGAGGTGCTTAACCAATTACATCTGCAAAGACCTTATTTTCAAAAAACAAGCTACAATCTGAGTTCTTGGTTGACAAAAATCTTGGGGGCCCCCTGCCAACACGGCCCCGCCTCCCTCCACCACTGCCCAGTACTCCCCCTACCACTGCCCAGTACTCCCCCTATTATTCAACCCACTATAATTGCCCAAGACAGACCAACAGGGACTTTCCACCCCAAATGCAAAGACCCCACAGATGACCTCGACGTCCAACAGGACAGCTCTGTCCTCTCACAGCCTGGGCCTCACGGTCACACAGCTCAGGCAGGATCTCGTTTTCCTCCTCATGGACCCCGACCCCAAATCCCAACAGCACTGATTCCTGCAGCGGCGTGGACGCCTGAAAGGGCGGGGGCTGGGGGGCTGACACTGCTGAGCAAAGCAGGCGGCCCTTCTGGGCTTCTATTTCTGTATCAGTAGAAGGGAATGTGGCGGGGAAAGGGGACTTCACATCCTTGGACATTCGTCTATGTCCAGAGTGTGCAGCTGAGTGCTCCAAACTGATCCCTCTGTCACCAGACCAAGAAACAGCACCCAGCCCGCAGGGGCCCTGCCAGGGACGTTGCCTCCCCAAGGACAGCCACTATCTGGCTTTCCAACAGCACAAGTTGATTTTTTTTTCCCAATTGAGGTAACATTCACCTGACACAGAAGTCGTCATTTCAACGTGAACCCTTCAGTGGCATCTGCATGATCACCAAGTCCTGCGACCCCACCTGCCTTTAGTTCCAGAAAATTCTTATCTCCCCAGAAGGAAAGTCCATACACATGCAGTGGTGGCTCCCCATTGCCCTGCCCATCTGCCCCTGGCAACCGCCAAACTGCTTCTGTCTCTGGACGTGGCTTTCCTGGACATTCCCTGCTAATGGCATCACACAACTCGTGGCCTCCCGTGCCTGGCTCTCTCACTCAGCATCAGGCTGTAGCGTGTCAGGGGTCACTCCTCTTCATGGCTAGATAATGTTCCACCGTGTGGACAGACACCTTTTCAAAACCCATTTATCCGGTGACGGACACGGGGCTATTCTCCTTCTGGCCACCGTGAGCAGTGTCGACAGAGTTCACGTTGCCTGCGTGTGTGTTTTCTCTAAATGGAACCATTCGGTCTGTGCTCTTGGGGTCTGTCTGTCCTTCAGCATCAAGGTTTTGAGGTGGCCGTGACATTCTGGGGAAAGGTTGTGCCTCCCGCGCCCCCTCCTGGCAGAGAGGGTTGGCGCCTTCTGTTATCTGTAGCCTCAGGGTGGGGGGTTCTAATGTGCAGACACCCAGCTCCCCAGGAAGGCCCCCCAGAGGGCCTGTCCCCAGATCCCACCACCAGGAGACACGGTGCCATGTCCTCATGACAGTTACTCTGTAATTATTCAATTATGGAGACCAAGTGTTTCTTACCTGGTGCTTCAACTAATTGCTTGTAAACACTCAGAAAAGCCGCCTCTGCCTCCTGGCTTCTCTTACTAAGGGCCACCACCTTTGGAAACAAAAGAAAGAGTTACATGTAACCACGGCATCTGGGTCTGGAAGAAATGTGGTCATTTTCTATCTGGACAAACATGGGAAGGGGTAGACAAGATGAAGGCTCCAAGTGTGGGCTCTGAAGTTAGGAAATCTGGGTTCTGGCCCAGCCAGTGTCCAGGCTGTGTGACTTTGAGCAAGTTATTGCCCCTCTCTGATCCTCAGTTTACTGGTCTGTAAAATGAGGAGCAAATAATAGAACCTAACTCCTAGGTTAGGTGAAGCTGCCTAAGAGCACCGAACATAGGTTATTCACAGTTATTACTCATATTTTTGTTATAAAAGAACAATACCAGAAGTTCAAATACAACATATGTTTTTGGGAAAAATTGGGACATACCTTGGAAATATTTCTAACTATTGAAAATTAGAGAGAAACTGTTAAAATTCTTAAAAGATAGGTGAATGGTGTCCAGCACACTGAAAGTGCTCAATCATTGCTGACCGAATGGATAACGGAGAGTGGGTAACCCCAGGAAGAGCCCCGTCCACACCATAATTTCTTGCTCTGGGATCTCTCTCCTTCAAGGAGACTTCATGAGATGTTTTGGGCAAGACAGATGTTATCCTGAAAAGTGTGGACACATGACTCTTGAATGGCCTGGTGGCCGCTGACCTAGGGTTGGCACCATCTCATGTTTTCTCCTTAAAGTGTGCTCTGAGCGCACAGGAGGTGCTCAACTTTATTTATTTATCATGGCACCAGGGATTGAACTCAGGGGCACTCAACCACTGAGCCACATCCCCAGCCCTATTTTGTATTTTATTAGAGTCAGAGTCTCACCGAATGGCTTAAGATCTCACTAAGTTGCTGAGGCTGGCTTTGAACTCGTGATCCTCCTGCCGAAGCCTCCACAGCTGTTGGGATTACATAATTTATTGAACGAGGGAATCAAGTGGGTTGCCTCCAACTCTAGGTCCTAACCATGACACCATCCTGGGTCTCCCACTGGTAGGGGACCATCCATTGAGAAAAGTGACTGACCAAGAACAGGCCCTGGAGCTGGGCAGCCCAGGTCCAAATCCCAGTTCCTCTGTTGACTCGCTGTGTGTCCTGGGGCAGAAAAGTCACTTAAGACCCTGTGCCTCTATCTCTCCATTTGTAAAATGGGGGCGACAATACAATAATCTTCCACAAAGGGGTGCTGAGAGCATCACATGACCTAACACATGAAGTCCCGTGGAGCACTCCTGGTACCCATGAGGCCCCTTGACATTATTTTCAGTTGTGACCAAGACCTTCCTTCTCGCCAGGAAGAGTACCAGGTTCTGCCTAGTGCCACGTGCTGACCTGAGCTGAGCTCTTCTCTGGTGCCTTACAGAGGCCACCAGAGGAAGGCTCCGCCCCACAGCAGTGCACTCTGGGAAGAAGAATTTGAACTATGGTGGTTCAGTGTGGCAGCCACAGACAGGTGTGGCTACTAAACCCTTGAAACACGGTGTATCCAAATCAAGATGTATGGTGTGACGTACACACAGGATGTCGAAGTTATAGTAAAAACAAATGATAGCTCAACATTTAAAAATTTTTTTTTAAAAATTTGCTGTACAGCGGGATTGGATTCAGGTGTCCTCCCCTACTGACCTATAACTTGGGACCCTTTTCTTATTTTTTGAGACAGTGTCTTGCCAAGTTGCTGAGGCTGGCCTCAAGCTTGCAATCCTCTTGCCTCAGCCTCCTGAGTTGCTGGGATAATTGGTGTGTGCCACTGCACCAGGCCCTCAATGTTGTTTTAAATACTGATTACATATTGAAGTGCTAATAGGTAATCACTTTCTCCTTTTAAAAATTACGGCTTCTAGAAAATACAAAATTGCATCTGTCACATTGTATTTCTATTGGTTTGCAGATTTTACAAGGCCCATGTAGAAGTAGTTGATTAAGACAGGGAGAGAGAAATATGGCTGATGCTGAACAAGTGATTAAAAGAGACCAGTTACCAAAGTTCTCTGCCACTGCTCCTCCCTGACTTTCCAGAGTGAGACACAGCTTCGCACTCCCTAAGAGACACTTCCTGAGGGCCTGCCATGCGCCCAGCACTCTGGGCTGGACCAGCCATGGAAGATGCAGGCTCGGGCCCCTCTCCATGGCTGACATTAAGGCAAATTCCCCAGACGACTCATTAATTACAAGTGCTACATGCTTGGAAGGAGAAGTGCATGGGTGCCTGCAGAGGGTGTGGGTTGGGGGAGGCTGACCCACTTTGATGGTGGAACATAAGGAATCATCTCCCCAGAAGGGAAAGGGCAAAAAGAATGTTCTAGAATCGAGGCAAAGGGAAAAATCACAAATGCAGAGGCAGATTTTTGTTCTCACTGAGATGGGACAAGATGCAGTTCCGGCCCTGGGGTCTCACCACTGCAGGGGGAGACTCAGCTACGAGGAACCACAATGTGGGAGGAGGTGTAAGCGTGTGCTGGGGTCTCCTGGCAGCTGGGGGGCAGGAATGCAGAGGCTGGGGGCACCCTTGGGGGCTAACAATGGCACTTTGTGTGTACCACGCACCAGGTGTGCTTTCTGTTCCTGATCTTCTATCTGTGTGGACACACCAACTGTGAACTGAGGCTCCCATTATCCCCAGTGTATGGATGAGGAAACCGAGGCTCAGTGACAGTAAGTTTCTTGCCCCAAGGTCACCCAGTTAACAAATGGCAAGGCCAGGATTTACACCAGCTCTGGGGGATTTGAATTGCTGTTCTGAATTTAGACACTAGCCCCCTCGGCTCCTGGCAGAGAATGTACCCAGGCCAGGGGCGGCCGAGGCACGGGGGCCTGGACCTCACTGCCTCAAAGGTCCTCGAGGCTGCAGGAAGTTAGAGGCTGCTGGGTGGCAGACCTGGAGCCCACAGAAACTACAAGAAATGAAAGCAGCTCCTCTCTGATCCCTGGAGGATTAGCAGACCAGTGGGCATAAAGCCGAAGGCACCCCCCCCCCTCACAGTAGCCTCATGGTGGTGGATGGAGTTTGGGGAAGGCACAGGCGGTTCCCTTGACTTCTAAAACGAATTCTAAAGTGGAACTCTTGAGTGCTGGAGGAGTCCAGTCTCCCAGGCCCTGCCCACTGCCCCTGCTACTTTCCCTGCATGGCGTAGAATGTGGGTTTATCTCTGTGCCTGTCTCCTTATGACGCCCATGTTCCCATGAGAGCTAAGTGTCCGATACTGCAGCCACATGCTACTGATCACCTGAAATGCAAACCTTCCAAACTGAGGTGAGCTGTAAGCCTAAAACACACACACACACACACACACACACACACACACACGTGAAAGATCCCAGTGATCATTTTATATTGATCACACATTGGAATGACGATATTATGGACAGATTAGACTAAATAAAAGATATTATTAAAACTAAATTCACCTGCTTCTTACTTTAAAAAATGTAGCTACTAGAAAAATTTAAATTACCTAGGTGGCTGGCTGGCTATGTACCTGGGTAATTGGGAATTGAACCTAGGGCTGCTCTCGTTGACACACATGCCCAGTTCTTTTCACCTTTCATTTTAAGACAGGGTCTCACTAAGTTGCCCAGACTGGACTTGAACTTGCACTCCTGCCCTAGCCTCCTGAGTTGCTTACAGTTAATTTCTACTGGACAACGAATACATAGGCCAAGGGTTGGAAAACTCAAATCTGGTCCTTCATCTATTTGTGTAAATAAAATTTTACTGGAAAACAGTCATAGCCATTCATTTCTGTATTTACTACGGCTGCTTTTATGCTCCGGGCAGAGTTCTGGACTGTGACAGAGACCCCGTGACCTGCAAAGCTTAAAATATTGACTCTCTGGCCCCCTATAGAGCCATGCTTGCTAACCTCTAATTCAGAACTGCATCTATAGCTGGATGATGTTTTCAAAAGCAGAGATCAAGAGGCAGCCGGAATGGCCCTCGGTTAGAGTCAGTTCACACTAGCACATCCCGCCGTAAGTGTGGCTCTCCAGGACTCTATTTGGCTATCCTGCTTCACTTGATCTTGTTTGAGGATAACGACTCTGTCCATTTCTAGAAGACGGGGCCATTAAATTCTGGATTCTAGAGAGTGACCCAGATTCGGGCTAATGTTACTAAGCATCACGTGGCCTCAGTCTGTTGGTCCATCAAGTGGGTAGAATAATCCCCACCTGGATAAGAAGGTATTTGTGCAGAAAGACACCCAGTTCTGCCAGGGAAGCTGGTGGAAAGCTTCCTAATGTGTCTGCCACTCTTCTAACCACGCAGGATGGCTTTTCCAAGGGCTGCCACTCCATGCTGCACCCACGTGCCCAGGACAGGGCTGCCTCATGGCACAGAAGAGCAGAGTGTCTGGAATGACAGAGTTGGCTTGTGACAGTCAGATCCTGAAGGGCATCTGGGGGAGGGGGAGGAGGCAGTGGCAGGGGCCAGCCTCAGAAGGTCACCATCAGGAACAGCACCAGCATCTGCGTGGCACTGACCCAGCCCCTGTGCCGTGTGGGTGGCGTGTGTGTGGTCCCTGAGTAGGGACAGGGCATGCGCAGATGTGATGAAGCCGGAGAGGTACAGCCTGCCCTAGCTGCTAGGCTTTCGTCTCTCAGGAGCTTAAACAACAGCAAATTCAGGGGCCCACAGGCTGAGCTTCTGTGAGTGAGATGGTGCTGCACGTGCCGAGGTGGCAGCTCGCGGCATGGAGTCTGGAGACCACGGCCCTCTCTGCATTCAGCGCTCTATCCCTAGAATCCCTCCTCCTCTCAGATGGGGAACTGCTGCTGCCCCATTCCACAGAGGACAAAGCAGAGGCTCAGGGAGGCTTGGTGGCCGAAATGAGGGAACCAGTTAGCTGCAAAGGTACCAGTGCCCAGATGCCCCTCGTTCCAGGCCCTGGACTTACACCCACAGTGCTTCTCCAAGTGTGTTAGTCCTGTGGCACGAACAAGGGCCCGCAGTGGAGACTGCACACCCCTGTGGGCAGGCACCAAACAGCAGTACCCTG